CCTGCGGCCCCCGCCGTGTCCCGGGGGCCGTGCTGGACCGCCCTCGCTCGCGGCCTCGCCGAGGCCCCCCGAGGCCGAGCAGGGCGAAGAGGCGGCCTCAGGCGCGGCGTCGCCCTCCGCTGACCCCGAGATGGCCACTGAGCCCACTGCTGGGCCCGGCCTGCCCGAGGAGAGGACAGACAGCCCGGCTGTGCCCGCTGGGGATTCCCGGCTGCCGAGCCCAGGCGGGGTGACCCGCGGTCACACGGCTAGCCTCGGCTCACGTCTGCACCTGGGGACCACCGGCCAGGTGGACCCTGTCGCACGAAATGCCTCTGCTAGCCGTTCGGCTGCCTCAGCGCCCCTGCCCCGTGTCACCTGCACGGCGCAGCACGCCAACCAGGTGGCCTCCCGAGCGGCCCAGCTGCTTTGGAGTTTAGTCAGCACGCTGAGGTTTGCAGCCCAGCTGAGCAAGGCCATTCCGACGGGAAGGCAGCATCCCGGGGAATCCGGACGGTGCCCGCCTGGCCCCCCTGCCAGCAGCTCGGGAAGGGTTCACAGTGGAAGGTCCTGCACGGACTGAGCAGGCGAAAAACAGAGCAAAACTCAAAGCCGAAGTCACCCGAGAGACTGTCGGCTGCCCTCAGTCACCCTTCGAGCCTGGAACCGAACTCGCCACCCGGCCGATGAGGAGGAACAGTACCGCCACCGCTCAGAGTCTTCAACGCTAGGAAGTAAAGAGGGGCAGCATTTCCCCCAGAAGTCAGAAGGGAGAGAAAAGAACAGTGGAGACGGGGAGGCGGGAGGAAGTGGGGAAATGCTGTTCCGTTGTGGGAATCGCCGGCGGTCTCAGGAAACATAATGTTTTGTGGATTGTTGGATGGGAATCTAAATGGTAAACTTTCGCAAGAAAAAATTGAAAGGAAATAAATGGTTTCTTTGCCGTTCCTGCCCCACTATTGGGTCAGGACTTCGTGGGTGTTTCTCAGGTCTCATTTGTTTCCTTTAGTTGATTTTCTCAATTACATGCGGCTCATCCTGACTTTAAAACACTCCAGTGGCGATTCCCATCATATGTTGTATGGACTGTGAAAAGACCGAGGTCACTCTTAATTATTACTAGAATTCAGCCTTGAAGACACTCTCAAGGGAATGCTTGTTTTTGTCTTAAGGCAACGGTATCACACACAGGTCCTCTGTGACAGGATACTCCAACAAGTGCCGGGAGGTGAGAGAGGGTCGCGGTTTTTACTTTGTCCAATCAGCCATGATGTATTACTTGACCCCCGTCCGTGCGTGGTCTCTGCTGTCTTCATGAAAGCTCTTCCAGTTTGTCCAGTGCATAATCCTTCACTCCTCCTACCACTCAACTAGCTGAGTAACCTTGAACGGGTAGTGGTTTTTCTGAGTCTCAGGCTCCTCATATGTAAAAAGGACGATTTCAGAATTGCGAGGAGCACATTGATTTATGGAGCATAAAACACTAGGTCACATTGGGTCACTAGTGTTGTTTTCGCTCATTTCAAAGTCGGGCAAGCATGGCTGCATGATCAAGCACTTGACGGTTGCGACTGTTGGACATCCAGACCTCTCCTCAGTCCAGGCTTTCCAGTTTCCATTTTGCAAAGGCGCTTCTGATGTGCTGCTTGACAACCTACGTGGATTGTAATCACATCCATTGTGAGTTTGGAACTGGGAGCTACTCTGAAACGTTGGTCTCAAAGTAGCTTTAGTGCCGTTAGGGTTTCTTTGCTAAGAAATTAAGTATTCATAGAATCTTGTAAAAATATTTCACATCATCAGAAAATTGCTATTAGTGGTAGCTCTTTATTCTGCTACTGTTTACACAAGTACATTGCCATTCATGCATATGACACCTTATATATCTGTTTTGCCTTTTGACCTTTTTGGTCAACTTTTCCTTGAAAATTGAATAGTGTGTAGTTAGTAGTGTACCTAAAGGTTCTATTCGGTTTCCAAAATACCAGAGGAAAAGCTTTTTTAGGCTCAGTTGTACCATCGTGCGACCAAGGATCCCTTTTTTTGTTGGAAGAGATCTGTGGCTTGGTGGCTTGGTATTCTGTTCAAATTGAAAAGAAAGCAAAAAACAGTAAGTGCCTATGTGTCAACCTGCTGCCAAACACAAAACTGTCGATTTTGAAGTCTTAAAAGAGCGAGAATGAGAGGCTTCATCTAGATTTTTATGATATTAAATATTGACTGCTGAGTGCTTTCCTGGCTTAATTGCTACTTTGTAAGAAATGGGCTCCCCCTCTCCTGCTAGATAAGTGTTCCAAGTGCGAGAAGGGGGGAAAAATCGATATCTGGCATATGGAGGGGAGGGGAAGAGAAGGAGACTCTCATATTTCCCCTGTCCCTGAGGCATCCACTGGCTATCACCCCAGGCATTGGCCTCAGGAGCGGTGTCCATGCTGGGAAGGGCAGGGAGATGGGGTTCCTCTTGTGCTGTGGAAGTACTGGAGTCTGTGTTTGCCATGCAATTACAGGTCTTCCTTTCCTTGACCTATAACTCCAATGTGTCCCATTCACGTGAATGATAAATACTTCATAATTCCGAAGTATAAAGAATGAGATGTAAATAGATCATAGAAATGCTTTATGGATTGATATTTGCATGTAAATAAGTATATTTTAAGAACAATTCCACCTAGCTTTTGAAAAAAATATGTTTGAGTATTTGTGGAACATTTCCCGTGCCCCGAGGTTGGGGTTGGTTTAATAGTTCACTGGACAGCATCCAGAGTGGTGGATTAATATCACTTGTGAATTATTTTCAGCTAGTTAATATAAGCATGTTTAAGCAAATCGCATGCCTGTCTAGTATTGTTCCCTGAGAGTGTCCTTCTACAGTAGAATGGCCAGAATTCCTCTTTCATTGTTCCGAATTCCGTGCTTTCTGTAGGACTCTCAGTGGTTGGAGAAGATCAGCCCTTATAAAGCCATTTCTAGGAAGCCAGCACTAGCATTCCAAATCAACCTCCCCCATTCCTTTTCTTTCTTTTTCTTCATTATATGGAAATGTCCCTAAGGTGTGGAGTATTGGGTGGGGAGATAATGTAGCTGCTGAAACGTGAATAGGATGTCAGGCGATAATGACATGACAGGGCTGTAAGTCATGCACCCAGGGTGTGTTTACGCCTCTGTGAGAGATGCATGAACCCTCCGCCGCAGCACAAAGCTCGGCAGGGCTGCTTTGCCACACTCAACATGGACGACAAGTCTTACCAAGAAAGGAGTCCGGCACCCCAGGCCTGCTGGGCCTCGCCCACTTCTCCGCGTTCTGATTGGAGGAGACAGTCCCTAATCTTTGTTGTCCCGGCGACTACTGGCTAGCTGCCTTATCGCTCACGGTGTCCAGCTCGGCGCTTGAGAACAAGTAAACAAGTATTGCTCAAGAAGTGTGCCTGAAGCTATTCCCAGAAAGGATCCGGGCCGGAGGCTCTGCAGCTGACCAGCGGAAACTCAGGAGAGGGCAGGGTTTAGGAATGCTGTGGCTGCGTCCTGCTCCAGCAGTGTCCCCACGCACAGGGGTGCTTGGTGTCAGGGTACAGCCGCAGGATTCCACAAGCTAGTCCATACGGCAAAGTGACCAGCTACCGTATGGCCCGTCGGGTTGTTTCAGAAACTAGCGCGTGGTAACAGCTGGAACTGGCCCATGACTCGGATTTTGCTGGCTTCCTTATTTACTTCCATTGTTACAGCTTTTGTCTTGTTATGAGGCCAGAGAAGGGGTACAACTGTTGATGTCCCCTGGGAGCCCCCCCACCTTAGTTTAAACTCTGAGCACCTTTGACTATTCCCCCACTCTGCCCATTACCATACTTAGTTCTTCCAAGCGGTGCTCAACATGTCGTTTTTCCTCTCAGTTCTCAGAACCAGCACGGCAGAAGGTAACACGGTTGTCTCAAGTCCCAGGAATGCTACATCGGGTGGCTTTTGAGGTGACCGTTGGAAAAGGAACTGGAGACCAACCTTGTCTATGGTCAATGCTATTTCCTTAGGCCTTATCAATACTCAAGAACAAAGATTTCATTGTTGTAGAGCCTCCTCATGATGCCAAAACAAACACTCCCTTTCCTCCACTCGCTCAAAACCAAACCAGACTCGGAGTGACCCTATAGGACAGGCTACGAGACTGTAACTGTTTTTAAAACGAAACCAAGCTCACTGCTGCCCAGTCAATGCTGACTCGGAGTGACCCCTGTGGGTTCTGAGGCTCTAACTTGACAGGTGTAGAAAGCCCCATCTATCTCCCTCAGGGCAGCTGGCAGTTTTGAACTGCTGACCTTGTGGAGAGCAGCCCAGGGTGTAACCCTGTGCCCCCAAGATTCCGTTCCTCTAGTGTTTCCAAATGCACCTCCCTCACTTTCTTTCTATACAAGGAGCTGTAAAAATGCTTCAACAGTTGGAGGACATGTGTGTGATGAACTCTTCAAAGCCCCTTTCCTTGGGTTCCCCTCCACCGGGGTGGATTTCCCAGTTCTTCCGGTCACTCCTCTCCTGACAATCAGCATGAATTCAGTCCCTGAGCCAGCGGCTTGTCTCCAGCTTGTTCAGCGATTCCTGCTGCCCTAGGCATTTCTCCTTGGAGGCCCTGTCCTTCCACCTAGGTCACCGCAGACCACCTTCATCGGTATCATTACTACTTAACATCTTCTTTCATTTGAATGTTAGAAACAACTCATTTTCCTAAAGTCTTTAAGAGCAGCTTTGCAGGACGGAACAAACCTCCTGCCTGGCCCGGTGCGCACCTCACAAGTGTCCTCAGGCTCCAAAGCCATTGAGCGGTGGTGCTTGAGGAGATTTTGAAATTCCCGAGGACTCCTCAGCAGAAGTCAGGCCAGAGTGCTCCTTGGAGGCCAGGACGGCGGCATGTCATCTCACCGATGTTAGACCTGTTGTCAGGAGAGAGCTGTCCCTGGAGACGGAGTGCAGGGCAGTGAAAACGCGGAAGGCCCGTGACAAGATGGACGGACACAGTGGCAGCACAGTGGCTCTGACAAAGGAACGATTGTGAGGACGGTGCAGGGCCAGGTTGTGTTTCCTTCTGTTGTGCATAGGGTCACCATGGTCGGCGTTGACTTCAAGGCCCCTAACAGCAGCTACAACATGATGTTCTTTAGTGGCCCGGGGTAAGGATTTTGGTTTCCTGGTACCCGCATTCCATCAAAGGAACACCCAAGCAAGTCCCTCAGGGCGAGGCTGCCCACCCTGGGCTGGGTATAGCAGTGAAACACTCTCAGCATGCAGGCAAGGCTTTGCACTTTGCCAGGAGGAAATGGTCAGAGAGAATTCAAGAGGCTGAATCTACATGGAGACGCCAGCATGCACCTGGAGCTCGCACTAACCCTCCACCTCCCACAAACCTAGCGCTCAGAATTGAAGGTCTAGTACAATATCCAATATTAACTGGAAATAAACGTGCCACATAGACTCCTCCTGCATCCCATTAATTTGCA